TTAACTTATGTTGCAAAGGCTTTATGGCTCTTCACAAAGTCACTGTCTTCTCGTCTGCTTTAACGGGTTCTGACCGGACCCACGCAAGTCAGTGATTACAGAGGAAGATTGAACCCTTCCCTCGGTCCAGAATTACCGTGCCTTGTGAATCTGCCTGCCCACCTTCGCTGCGTCTTGGTGCCTTTATCTGAGATGTATGCGGCACTGTGTCCTAGTTACACCTCAGAGTTGTGTGAGGACAGACGTTCCGAACTCCTGTGAGAGAAGCAGGCTTCTGTGTGCTCTTTGCAAGCTACCAGCCACCCACTTTTCTGTGTGCTGAGATGCAGACACCCCAGAGCCTTCTAGAACTCCGAACAGCTCTAGGTGGCGGTGGGTGGATGGGGAGGGGGAGGCACCCTGGAAGAACCGTCTGCCCCAGTGCAAACTCCACCTGCAGGCCTGTGGCCACGCAGCTTTCAGCACCTTCCATCCCACTGCCCGGGCCTCAGGGCGAGGCTGGGAGCACCAGCCAGGACTGGAAAGAAGGAGACGGGGTCTGGGGGCTCTCGGCAGCTGCTCCCTCTTCTCACATTCTGCCCCTTACGCTGTGGGCCTGAGGACGGCTGGGATGTGGCCTTGGTGGGGGGGGAACTCAGCCAGCGCCCAGGCTGCAAACTCTGCTCCGAGGGTTGCTCAGTCTCCAGACCAGTGCTCCTCACACGTTTATGCCCCTAACGGAATTTAACAAAACCACGTCTACCCCGAGTGTCCTAAGTTGCCATGTAAAATTTTCAGCATAGTTTTCAATATAATTTTAAACAGTTCCCAACGATGCCATTTTCAGAACATTGTAAATATTGACATTAAAAATGCATTATTTCTTCAAAGTATCTAATGAACTTTAAGTACCAGAAAATTTGATTCATCATCTTCTATTAAACACATGAACAAGTTCTTAAATAGTTTGACAGGGTTTCTTTTTCTTCTTGAATTTATATTTTTATTCCAGTTACTCTATTGAATTTTATCCTTATGTATTATATTTTTTACGCACAAAAGCCTTTTATTGGCCACTGTGTCATAATTTAGTGTGACAAAAATATGTATGAAGGTTTAAATTTAATTTTTAATGTCCAATAATCATAAGTTGCTAGATGTTAAGAGCTTTTGGATTGAGTTATCATTACAATTATTTGTAATACACAGAAATAGGCAGTGAATACGAAGGATGGGAATTATAATATTTTTGGAAATGCATCTCTTACATGCTTGAATACTCTGTGTATTCATAATGAATATTATTTATTGCTAAAGTAAGAAAGGTTCAAGATTAACTCTGGTTCTCTTTTTCATTCTTATAAATATAGGAAATGAGGAATGTTACTTACAATAAACAAATAAGGTGGGAAAGGAAGGAGTTTTGTTATTGTACCCCGAGTCAGTTCTCGAAACTATTATCTAGGTTTTTGTCTGAGGTCATATAGTGATCTGTTTCCAAGTTTCTTTTTTAAGTCTGTCCTCCTTCAGTTGTTTGGAAAGAACTGGAAACTTCCTGACTTGCCAAAGGATTTATTTCCCACTAGAGATATTTATTTTCAACAACTGGATCAGTATTTCATGGCGTTTATTTGTACTCTGTAGGTTCTCTCTCCTGAGATACTGAGTGCGTGAGAGATCTGTGCTTCCTTCTGAGAGTGGCAGGTAGGGGTGTGTGGCAGGGGAGGGTGTGTGTGCACTCGCGTGCATACGTGTGTGTGTGCGCGCATACGTATATGATGGAGAACCTAAAGGGGTTATAGGTTCTCAGTTCAGCTTTAGAAAAACTCCATAGAAGACAGGTATGGGATGTTACCTTTTACCTAAGAAGACGAGGAAAATGCATATAATCCGTATTTGCTTATGTTAATAACAGGAGAAGAATATACTGAAAAGAAACAGAAAATAACTTACCTGGAGGGGAGGAGGAGAGCAGGGCAGTGAGCAGAGGCAGAGTTAGACTTGGTTTTCCTGTGCTTTGTTTTGTGGTTTAGACTTGGAAGTCATGTAACAGATTTTAGATTACAGTAAAACACCATTAAATCACATAAGAAAGAAAAAGCAATTCTTAAAAATAAAAAGCAAAATGAAACTAGCAAACCTAACTGCACATTAAGTGGTGACCTCATGGCAGAGAAAGCACCACTCCAAGTGGCGGGCATTTCCGGTGCATTCCCACCACCCGGTGAGTCCCCGTGTGTCCTGAGGCCCAAAAGAACTGCAAAGATTGTAGACAGCGTCCAGGGATCACATTGCTAGTAACACTGTTCGAGCTGTTATTTCAAAATACATACATGCATAAGTAGATAACATGTACTAAGCTAAAGCGAGTAAGTAATATTACTGATGTTGGGAATGAAGATTTTTAGCATAAGAAAAATGCATATATAACATCGAAGAAAACCACACAGGAGCTGTGATGCGTCTCCAAACCACACCAAACAAAAACGAACCTCTCATTGGTCACCTTTGAAGGATGCTAGGGAACTAGTTCATTAGTCTGAGAACTGGTAAATAAAGGGAGAGAACCAGGCATTTCCAATTAAGCTGTCACTGGGATAACCACACAGTCACTGAAGGAAAGTACTAATTCACTGAAGGTTTCCAAGCTACCACCTGCAGAGGGGACGCTGGGATTAGAATGCCATCCTTTTGCAGCCGCTAAGGAAATAGCCGGTCATCTGGGCCGTAATCCTCAGTGGCTGCCAGTGTCACTGGGTGAATGGGGGCTGGGTAAAGGACAATTGTGCGGGCAGCACCTGAATCCACAGTCATAGAGGTAAGGGAGGGCGTCGCCCAAGGCGGTGTGATCCAGAGATTTCCAAGGACTGGTTTTGTTTCTACACTCATTTCTTGGCATTTTTGCCTTAGTCTTATGCATCCCATTTCATGGCTGAGCCTTCAGATTCTCAAGTGTGTCTCACTGAGAGCCTGCATCATTGGCTGGGATTTCTCAGGCAGAGCCCAGACAAGTGGCCATATTTTCCTCTGTGAAACAGGACAGTGGGAGAGGGGATTAGGTGGGGCGGAGTGTAATACCCAGCGGCTGGTGCTTGCGTTCATGAATTAGTGGTTTACGCATTAAGATTATTGTTTCAGCCATAGCTTGTCTGCCTAGGTCAGTGCTTTTCTCCACGGGAGGATCTGACCACTGCTTTTCCCAGGCCAGCCCTCTCCAGCATGGAGAAGGCTGGGGGCAGCCCTGGAGGGAGACCAGTGGAGTCTAGATGGATCTCTGTGAGAAATCTGGGGGGTCTGGGTCTGTGGTGCCCTGCAGAAGCACGAAGGCCACACACGGGTGCCATCGCAGCACTTTGTGTCTGGTTGTGCATTTAGTGATGCCTAGGGGTGTCCCCTCACTTCAGGCAGGGCTCTGCTTGACGCCTGGGCAGAAGATGAGGAAACTGAAACTCAAGCACACCAGGTGCTTATCAGAAGTCATGTCCAAGCCCAGACCTCTGACTTCCAGCTTATTCCTTTTGGTTGTATCCCTGGCCTCTTGACATATTTTTTTTCACTCCTGGAGGAATGCCATCCATGCATCCCCCACCTGGTGCTGCTGCCCAGTGGGAAGCTCCATACATGTTCCTTGGTGGGGAGAAGTTGTAGGCAATTGATACCCTTCTGATGCTTTTCTGCGCAAACACATGAGCTCGTTGACATCACACCAGCACACTTGGATTTCCCTGTCTTGCAAACCGGGAGGTTTCCATTCGGAACACTTGTTCTGGGCCCTGTATAAAACCATCACACGAGGCAAACACCAGAACCAGCTGGGAGGAATCCATGGTAAATGCTCAGGATTCCCGACTTCTGTTTTTTAAATCAAGAACCCAGATCCAGTGAAAGGTCCTACTGGGGTTCAGTCACAAACATAACTTTCTTCTAAAAACACCGCCTTTCAACGACATAGAACTTAAATCAGTTAGGTCCACTTGTTTCTCTTTATTCGTATGTTCATTTTCCTTGAACTGTTTTTAAATTTTCAAATGTAGTACACGATCAAGGTGAAATTGCCAACTGCATAGACATGTGCGCGGTGAAAAGTGGAATTTTCTCTGCGGTCCGGGCTTGCTGGCACTTCGCTCTCCGGAGGAAGCCGGTGCTTTGATGCGACGCTGTCTCTCTGGGTTTTTCCTGTGCACTTACAGAGTGACATGTTATTGCCCCGTGATATGTTTGCTTATGCATTCCTGTTCTTACATGAACGAGAATGCCGGTGTATATTTTGAATGTCTCGAGTTTTCCTTTAACGTATGTCCAATCCCCACGCATCACTCTCCGATACTTCTTTAAAACTGCTGCAGGCACATTTGGTGGCAAACGAATCATTGCCCTTAAAAACAATGACATAAACATCTTCAACCAGGTGTTTTGCTCACAAGACCTAGTTTTTTCCCAAGACTCCTAGAGATGACATTACTGGGTTAAAAGGCCACTTACATCGCTAGCGTGGGCAGCTTCTGCCACAGGGCCTCAGAAATGGCTGCTGGACCCCCAGCGGCGGCAGTGTTCGAGGACGACCGCTCAGACCTCCTCAAGCACCAGAGACTGTCAGTCCTTTGCATGTCACTCACACTGCATAAAAAAATGTGTCTCTCTGTCATTTGATGAGCATCTCTTCATGTGTCTGTGGCCATTTGTAGCTTTTTAATGGATCACCTGCTCTTCCTCTTTACTCATTTTTCTGTTGGGTTGCTTTCTTAAACTAACATAAAGGATTGCTTTATAATATATGGAATTTAATTCTCTGTTATGTGTATTGCAAGTATTTTTTTCCCTGTCATTTGTGTTTTAACTGGGTTTATTTTGCATTTTGCCATGCAGAAGTATTCACTTTTACAAGTTGTATCTCTAAGTTCTTATTCTTTATGGCTTTGTGAACATGTGTCTTATTTAGGAAGGTCTTCCTCTCCTAAGGTTGTACAATACTTTTCTAAGTTTTCTTCTAATATTATTATTGTTTTGTTTTTTATGTTTAGCTCTTTAATCCATCTGGAAATGATTTTTGTATATGGTGTGAGGTAGGTATCTAAGTGTACTTTTTAAATGAATAGTTCATTGTCCCAATGCTTTGCTTACTAACCCATCATTTCATATATTTAATTCTGATGTTTATGTATGAGTCTGCTTCTGGACTCTATTTTGCTCCATTGATCAATGAAACTTGTCTATTCCTATGCCAATAACACAGTGTGTTCATTACCGAAGTTCGATGATATGTATTACTATCTGATAAATATCCCTTGTTGTTCTATCTCAAGTATATCTGAGTTTTTATTCAGTACTCACTCCTTTAGGTGACTTCCGGTATCATTGTGTCAATTTCCATGCATCATTCCATTGGGGTCTTTATTTGGATTGTGCTGAAGTTTTAGATGAATTTTAACAAGGAATGAGAGATTTATGAGCTGCAGGATGCTGAGTCTTTTTCTCCAAAGAAAAGACATCTTTCTAATTGTTTAGATCTCTTTTTATGTTTTTCAACACTTTTCTTTAGCTAGACCTTCTATATTTTTTGCTAAGGTTCATGCCTAGGAATTTTCAATGTTTCCTTCATACAAAGAGTCTTATGTCCCACTGAATTTTAAAGTACCGGCTGCTGGTGTGTGAGAAGAATTTGATTTTGTGTGTCCATTTCACATCTGGGTAGCTTATTAAACCACGTAATTGTTCCAATTGCTTCTTAGTTAATTGCCTTGAATAGTCATATCACATGCAGACAACGGCAATTTTGATTCTTCCTTTTAAATATTTTACCTTGTTTTAATTCTTGCTTCATTACATTGGCTAGGAGCCCACCTACCCAGAGATGCCTAGAATCAGGGATAGGAGACACCTCTATGCTTCTGATGTTTTATCAGTAAATATGACGGTTAATGTGTTAAATGAAGGAACTTACCTTCTATTAGTAAGGAATTAGAGCTTTGAATCAGGAAAGGGTGTTGGAAAATTTTGGCATCTTTTAAAAGGATAGTTTTTCTTTTATCTTTTAATTTAGTAAATTAAACAGATTTTTTAAGACTGAGGCATTCTTTCATTTCTAGAATAAAACTTATTGAGTTGTAATATGGGATTATAATCTCTTGCTGATTTGATAATGCTTTATTTAGGTTTTGACACTGTATTCATAACTGAGACAGCTTTACATGCAATATAAATGACATATCTGTGTCTGTGTTCAAATAGTGAAGACTGTCTGCTAAGCCTGACTGATTTTGTCAACAGGGATATTGAAGCCACAGAGTATGGCTTGGGGAGGTTTTATTTACTTTTTGGTTTGGTTTGGTTTGGTTTTGGAAAAGTATAAATAGGTAGAAAACTTTAGTAGAACCCATTAAACCATCTTCTCCTTGTACTTTTTTTAATGTATAGGGTTTTTTTTTTTCTGCAATTGAAAGTGTTTTTGTAGTTAAGTTTTTGGTTTTCATAACTTTTTAAAAATGAATATTTTCTAGTAACTCAGTCATGGCATCTATATCTCACATTTTATTATTGCGGAACTCTTACCATTTTCCACCGTGTGCTCTGTGGCCCTGGCTGACCTGGCCAAAGGCTTATATTGCTTTTGAAAGAACTAGCAGTTGGTTGTGTAGAGGTAGTCTGCTTCCCCGGCCTTTCGTGATTTGTTTTCTTTGCTTTCTCTTATACCAGCTCCTCATTATATTTTTATTACTTCTTTTCCCTTGCTTTCTATAAATTTTCCTTGTAGGTCTTTACTACCTTTAAAAAAATTGAATTCTTATCTAATTTAATTCTAACTTTTATAAATAAGTGCTTAAATGCTATAAATTTTTTTCAAAACTTACTTTAGGTACAATTCATATTATTATGAAAGTTTTAAATTTTACTTTTAATTATCTTTTACCAAATAGTTTTTTTAATTGACCAAAGAGAACCTTTTTTTAAAAAAATGTATCCTTTTGTTCTTCGTTTCTATTTTATTTGGTACAGGAAATGGTTCTTGCTTTTTACTTTATATGGTTTACTTTTTTTCACTTGGAATTTTAGGTTTCCTTTGAGGCATAATGTAGTGATTAGTGTTTATCAAATTTTTTTAGACAATTGAGAATAATATGCAACTTTTAGGGAGGCTGAAAAACTTACACAGCACATGTAACAGTTAAAATTCGTTATTTGCATTTTAAAAAAGTATTTTCACTTATGTTGTACTCTTGATCTGCTAATTTTTTAAACTATAATTGTAGCTGTGTCAGTTTTCTTTTATTTATAACTTGTTTTACTCTTTATACTTTTTTGTTGCTATTTTAATTGGAGCATAAAAGTTTATGATGATCAAAATGGTGAATTTTGCCATCTGCAAATATGATATAAATCACTGCCACATGGTGCTTGGCATCCTGAAATTTTTTCATGGATATAAAATCCATGAAATTTATAACCTATATAATCAATTTCAATATATTATCTTTTTAATATATGTTGCAATGTATATTGAATATTCAACATACATGTACTTCCCCTTTATTGTATTTTTGTATTCTTTCATCTTTAATATTTTCTGATATTTATAGATACCTTTTCTAAAGAACGTGCATTATATTTTTAACGTGGTTTTTTCTTACTTAAGAGATTGTATTTGTACTTGCTGTCTGTAATGATGCTACTTAAACTTTTTCATTTTGTGCTTTCTATTCACCATTATCCCACTGCTTTTTGTGGTCCTTTTGGTATTAGAGGTTTTTAGTTCTATTTTCCTAAAACTGATTTAGAAGCCATATATTCTATTCCCACTCTTTTAGAGACCACTTTAAAATGTTAGCAAGCCCCCGTAAATTTAAGCTGCTAGAACCAACGACTGATGGTCATTGATGAGCTCCCTCGCCCTGCTTTCTGAGGACAAAGCCTTGATCGGGCTTTTAATTATTTCTGCACCTAATATTCTGTGCACTTGTGGTTGAAATGATCTAGAAGTTTCATTCCAAATAAGTATTGCTGGCAGCGGTAGTACTATTAGCGCTATTAGTAGTAGTATTTGCTGTATGTCTATTTTATAGAAGCCTTTATTGGTAATTGTATCACACTCTACTACCAAATTAGCAACCTTTATTTAGATTTAAACGCATTTTGTGGTTTCTGTGCTTTGTGCTGTTTGTTATATCCAAAGTCATTGCATAGTCTAAATCGTTTTCTGTTTTTCTGTAGTACATCCTCAGTTTTTGTCCCTTCATTTTCCGAAAGGCTGTGAGTGGTCAGTTTTCAGAGTCTTTGCTTGCCTGAAAGAAACATCATCATTTGTCTTGACCCTGATACAGAGCTATCTTAATTATAAAATCCCAGGCCAGAAACAGCTTGTGCAAACCCATATCATTGATTTGCTCAGATACTTCACGTGGATAAGGCGACATGTTTTCTCTTTTTAGAAGTAAGCTTGCCGATAGCCCAGTAAGCCATTCTTTCTCAAGTGTCTTCTGTTATTCCTCTGACTGGTGTGCCATAGCAACAGCTCTTCTGATGAGTAGTGTGTCAGAAATTTGTGGAGAGCTCTTTATATCAGCACTAATCAGTTTTCCAACAGAAACTTCCATGTGTTAGCCAAAAGTTCATTATTTTTAATTGATTATCAGAGAGGGAGAGAGAAGGAGGGAGAGAGAAGGTCAGGTGCTTACTCCGCCCATTGGTGCATTCACTGCACCCCCCCCCCCCAACGTGTGCCCGACCAGAGACTGACCCCACCACCCTGGCGTGTGCGGACATCACTCCGACCAACCGAGCACCCAGCCAGGGCCTGAAGCTCCAGTGTCTAGGGCTCTGTTTACGAACCATGCAGTTAGTCCCACAGTTCTAAAACAGGCTGGGGTTTTACTCCCTTCTGCTAACACCACTAGCCTGCCGCATGGTGATGGTCCCCCTAACGTTTTTCTCAGGAAGAGGCCCCTGCATCATGTCCTCTGGCCCTTGGTTCTGGGGTCTGTAGACCCACCTGGGGCTCTTTTAAGAGTTTCTCCTTACTGGCCTCTGAGTCCCTTATTTAGAGCTGCTGTGCATTGTCTTTTGGCCCAACTGACTTCTTAGTAGCATGTGGTCTTCATACTTTCGGAACCTCCCGGTCCCCGCCCCTTGAAACGCTGAGATTTGAGTCGTGGTGAGATTAGGATCGTCCTCTAGAAGCTGAAGTTGCAGTTCTACAGGTGAGGTGCACGTGGACCATGCTGTGCCTTAACCACCTGGGCAATGGGTCTGCCCCGAGGCCCGCACACACCCCGATGCTTGAGGGCCTCGCTCAGTGGCTCTACTGAGCCCCTTCTGAATGTCTTCTCAGGGTTAGATTTCCTGTAGTACCAGGTCCTGACACCTCTCTTCCTGAGATTGTCTTGTGATCTTTCTTTGCACTTAGTGCTGAAAAACTTACCTCCTTTTAGGTGTCTTCTCTAATTGCTACTCTAGCTGCCTGCACTACTGTGGGTCTCCTATCTTGCTCAGTCTCTCCACTGGCCTCTGATACAAGCTGCATGAAGTGGTGTCTGTCTTAGAACAAAATGCATCAAGAGTGTGTCTGCATATGAAGAGCAGAGAGACGGGACTGATTCTGGCCATCCGGTCACTCTCTGTGTGCCTCTGTCTTGACCCCCGTTAGGTTGGAGGACACACCATGCTCCCCATCCGCTGGATGCCCCCTGAAAGCATCATGTACCGGAAGTTCACCACGGAGAGCGACGTGTGGAGCTTTGGGGTGATCCTCTGGGAGATCTTCACCTATGGGAAGCAGCCCTGGTTCCAGCTGTCCAACACAGAGGTACAGGGCGGGGCGGATGGGGGCCTCGAGTTGGGGAAGGCTGACGAGGGGCATCTCGGGCCAGGGTTTGGAGGCAGTGTATAGAGCACGAGGTCGGAGCCGGCAAAGGGGACATGGGCATGAGACTGAGTCGGGGAGAGCTTCTTAGCAGGAAAAAAATTATAGCTGTAGGGGGTTAGGTACAGTTTTCAAGAGAGTGTGAAGTCACACGTGTGAATTGAGATGCAGGGCAATGTTCTGTTTGCTCTGCCACGCTTAAAAATCGTAGATGTTGGTCACAAAGAACCACCATGAGTTTTTCAGTTGTCCCGTCTTGTGGAAGCACCTCCTGCCTAGTGGGCCCCCGTGGCCTGTGTCCCCAGAAGCCTGAGGCCCGCCCGGGGACGGGCTGGGCCGGCAGTCAGGAGGGCGGAGCTCAGGTCACTGATGGAGACGCATGCGGATTCCCGAGAGTGAAGTGGATTATAATAGCAAACACAATAATGATTAACACTCTATGTATAATTTTAATTTACACTAATAATAAAAATACTAATTAAATTTTAATAATTAATATTAGTGCCGGGCATTTCTCTAAGCATACTAGCTCTACGGACTCAGTGCTTTCCACCTTTTGAGATTCAAGACCAAGGAAGGAAAGGGGAGTGCTGGGGGTCCCCAGATGGGCTGGCCAGGGTCCCAGAGGGGAGAGCTCCTGGGACGTGGAGGACACTTGGCCAGCCATGGTCAAAGGGCAGTTTTCAGCCACATCTGGGCCGGAGTCGGGTGGCCCCAGGGACCAGTGCGGTGTGCAGACAGCGAGCGGCTCTGTCTGCCGACTCCGCGGACCTGTGCAAGATGGCGTTTATTTTTATGCTCTTCTGCTTTCTGGAAAAATATGAACATGAGGGCCTTTTGATATTGGAATCGTATCTGGATAATCAAGAAATTTATCTTTCCTCTTGGAAGCTGTGTGCATCTTTGCTTTCCTGTGTCCCGACCACACAGTTAAGTGAATGTCAGAGTCTGTGAAGAAGGCATTTCTTTGACTCTGTGCTATCTCATTGCTCACAAGCTGAATGGGCCCCGATCAGATCTCCCAGAATGAGACAAAAATGATACTCCCCTTTAGAAATAATGAGAGAGTGTGTGTCAGAACCCATTTGTTCTGCCTTTAAAAATTACTGTTGTGTCCCTGGGGCTGGGCTTGGTGGTGAGCACACTTGTGTGTGTGCACCTATGCACACCTGCCCATTCCTATCCCCTGAGCACAGTTGGGGGGGGGTGTGGTCTGGTGGCCTGTGAAGGTGGGTCTGGGTGGGAGTATCACAGGCAGCCGAGGGCCTGGATGCCCAGGCTGGCTCACTGGGGCCAACAAAGTGTCTGCAGTCACTTCTGACTCTGCCTGGGGAGGTGTCAGCCTTGAAAGCAGGCCTCCTGCCCCTGTCCCCCCTCCCTGCCCACCCACTGCAGCAGCCAAGTACTGGCAGCCACTGGTCACTGGGTTCTCTATGGGAATGGATGGCCTGGGCAGCCCCACGTGGGCAGGGACTCTGCTGAGTGCATTTGGTCTTGGCACCGGCAGAGGTGGCTGCACTTTGAACTGGGTCCCTTTTCTTGGGAAGGGGATGGTGGGTGGACACAGGGCTCTAATGAGAGCAGGGGACCTGAGCTGCCGGACACCCGTCAGGCTGGCAGAGAGGTGAGCCCAGGGAGCCATCGCAGACCCCAGGTGAAGGTGACCAGGAAGGTGACAGGGATGGGTGGACAAGCCAGCTGAGGGTCAGAGACCCATGGGGCCACACGCTGTTGGGGGCGGCGTGGGGAGATAGCAGGAGAGAAAAGGCACTTCTCTCCCCCAGACAAGCATAGATGAGGGGAGGCAAAGAGAGGAAGTAACATTTTCCAGGTACTCAACTGGAGATGCTTCTGTGCGTTTTGTCATCACCACCTGTCCTCAAATGAGGGGACTGTAGCTCACGGTGAGTGGTTCGACCTGGGTCATTCAGTGGCGGAGTAACTAGTCAGAGAAATTAAAACTAACTGAGGCTTGGAAGGTGAAGCCTTGAAAACTCACACATTCAGCATCAGCAAAGCAGTTCCGTGGAGGAATTGAAACTGGACTGCACTTTACAGGCTGGGTCCTGGGTACCCTGCTGAGCCGGGTCCGGCCTTCCTGCTGTGCTTTCCCCCACTCCTCTTTGCAGCTTTCCCTGCAGTGCGTGTGATCATGTAGTCCCCTTTCCCACTCTCACTTGGTCCCTGTAACACGTCTAGGTGGTCAAGCAGACATTGGGTCCCCCTCTTCCAGTGAGGATGCTGAGACCCCATGAGGCTAACTGTGCTGGCCCCGGCCGCCTGGCGGGGTGCTGGGGAGTGAGGGGCCGGAGAAGGAATGGCACACACGGCGCAGTGCAGAGAGCAGGGCAGGGGGCCTGGCCGAGGATGGGACCTGTGCCGTAGCGTGGGGACACACGTGGCGATGTGCTCCGAGGCCGTGACCGAGGGGAGCTCTCCAGGAAGTGGGACCGGAGGGGAGAGGGCCGTGCAGGGCCCTTGGTGCAGAGCTTTATCGAGGGAGTTTCAAAGTCATGCAGGCTCGTAAGATGCAGAGGGACAGCCCAAGGCCAGCCCCACTCCAAGTGGACAGTGAGCACAGCTCAGTGACCCAGATGAGCTTCAGGACTAGAAGAGGAGTGAAGGCAGAGGAGGCGTGTATCAGGAGGCCCGGCCCAGGAGGCGGCGTGCCCAGGGCGGTGCCGGCCGCTGTCCTCACAACCCGCACGCACAGGACCCACGAGAGACTCCGAGCTGCTTTCGGCCCTGCCCTCGGCCTGTGCTGAGGGCACTCGGCTCTGCATGGAGTCTCGCAGGGGATGTGGTGGCCTCCTGCTGGGCCCCGGGCCGAGCCCCGATGTAAGTAACGTCCTCATTCTCCTCGCCTTTTCAGGTCATTGAGTGCATCACCCAAGGCCGTGTTTTGGAGCGGCCCCGCGTCTGCCCCAAAGAGGTGTACGACGTCATGCTTGGGTGCTGGCAGAGGGAACCGCAGCAGCGGCTAAGCATCAAGGAGATCTACAAAACCCTCCACGCATTGGGGAAAGCCACCCCCATCTACCTGGACATCCTTGGCTAGTGCTGGCCGGTGGTCACGCGTCCGTCCTCTGCCGCCTCTCTCCCAGCCTCACACGCCCCCCTTCTGCCTCACCACCCCTTCCCTCCACCTCTGACTGAAGCGAACATCTTCATATAAACTCAAGTGCCTGCTACATATACAACACTGAAAAAAAAAAGAAAGAAAAAAAAAAACGCTGTAAGGCAGTTTGGCATATATATATATTTATATATCTAACTATCTATCTATATCTACAGAGATACCTTGTCTAATGCAGACAGACAGAAGCTGCTGATGTGGAAACCACAAGATTGTACCGACGACTCAGAGATTCTTAAATATTGTGAACACGAGGGACAATTCCCTTTGACTTAAGCTGCAGCCCATACTATGTCGCTGCAGCTTTTCGGAGCAGAAGGCCGTGGGATGCAGAGGGACAGTCTCATGGTGGGGCAGGCGGAGCCGCAGTGCGTCTGGAGGTGCCCCTGGGCCCCGCACAGGTGTGTGGTCCGGCAGCACTGGCCGTGCTCAGTCAGAAAGTAACCCTGGACCGGGCGCCTTGAGTTGCACCCCCCACCCCGGCCATTGTCTCCACGCCTTCCCTCTTCAGGAGGAACCCATCCACTTCAAGACCATTTTGAAATTCGCCCGTTCCGGGGAGCGCAGTCCTGACCCGATGCTTTGGGGAGTCAGCGGCGGTGCCTACAGGTAAACGCTGGAAAAGAGCAGCAATGAAACAGAATCCTGCAGGTGGGGGATGCACCCGTCTTGGATGTCAGCTGCGCCCCAGCCAAGCCCCAGTCCCTTGCCAGCCCTGAAAGGCATCTGTGACTGGTCTCAGAGCGTCAGGACCTGGGCTTCCTGAACGGCAAGGTCCACAGAGAACAAGCTGCAGCCTCTACCCATCCAGGCGCCATCCCCGTCTTTCCATCACTGGCAGGGCTCCTTGGCCTCACCACCCACTCAGGCCTTTGGGCAGCTGGGGTGCAGGGAATGTCTGCCCTGTAGTCTGTACCCGTGGACACAGAAGGTCTCAACAGCAGGACACTTAGTCCTCCTGGGTCCTCATAAGAGATGCTCCCCAGGTCCTCTGCTTCTCATTCTGCTTCCCTGAGGCCCTATCTGCACTTGCTGGCTTCCGGAGTCCCTGAGAGCCACTGCGGGAGGGGCAGGTCTCGGGAGGCTGGCTCCAGGGAGCCAGGCAGCAGAAGAAGCCTCTGGCGCCTGCAGCCGGCCCCTTGGCATTCCTCTCACGTTTCCAGTTCACGGAGGGACTGATGCATCTGCCTTCGAGCTGCTGTAGAAGTGTGGGGCTGAGGAATCATTCTTGGGGGTGGGGCAGGGTGGAGAAGGGACTAAGGCTTCTCTGGGAGATGTCCAACTCCTGGCCACTGCCGCAGGTCCGGCATCTTAATGAACCTGAGCCCTGACCTGGGGGGAGGGAGTGGGACGTGTACTGTGGCACCGGGTCCCTCTGCCCTCCCAGCTGCTGCTGCCAAGGACTGAGTGCGCCATCTCTGGCCTCCTGCCATGCGCCACATGCAGGGCAAAATGCCTGCAAAGCCAGCGGCCTGGCCCCACGGAGCCTCCAGCTGCGGAGGCCAGGACACTCCCCTCCCAGGCCACCAGCCCCACCAGCCCCACCTGCCACTGCACACCAAGCACAGAAAGACCTGAGGGACTGGTCCTGGCCCATGGGAGCCTCATGGGGGCTATGCTCTGACCTGCACTCTCCCGGCCAGTTTAAGGGACTGTCGTCATCCTGGACGTCCTGGTCACCTGCAGCATGGGCCTCTTCGTGTGGGGCTCGGGACTAAACTTTGTGTTTGTGGTTTTGCTTCTTTTTGTAGACCAACAAATGTTTTTATTCAAACAGAAAAGAGCTGCTCTCGGACTGTGGGGTGCAGGCGGGCTTCCAGGATCAGTGAGGCTGCTCAGCTGGATGGGGGCGGTGGGTGGGGGAGGGGGCTCGAGGAGAGGGCGGGGTGCTGGAGCTCAGTGCCAGTCTCCTCAGTGCCTGGTGCCATGTTCCCAGCCCTGAGGAGAGCTCTCTGGGTTGGCTCCCTCAGACGAGCCCTTGCTGCCTCGTGGCAGCAATTTCTCCCCCCCTGCAGGCCCTCGGGCCGCTGTTAGTGTGTGGGCTGAGCGGAGCAGTCAGGGTGTGAGCTGGGTGACCTGGGGAAAGGTGTGCCTGCAGGGAGTCAGTGGAGGACTGTGTGGCTTCCGTCTCCTAGGCTGTGTGTTTCCAGAACCTCACAGTCACTGATGGACTGGGAAGAAGGGGCAGATAGGAAGGGCGTGAGGCATGTGTTAGGGTTTGATGCAGGGCCCGGAGTCGTGGTGGCCTAAGGGAAGAAGGCAGCTCCTTCGGGAACAAGGGGAGCCCTGAAGGAGACCGAGGTCCCGGGTGCCCTGGTCCTAGTCCCCCAGGCCTCCATGTCAGCCATGGGGTTGCCTTCGTCCTGTCCATCGCAAGCAGCTGCTTGCTGTACAGGCAGGAGGAAAAGGGCAGTAAGCAGTGGGAGCGGAGAGGGGGACCTCATTCTGACTGCCCTGGTGGGACTCTCTGTGCAGAGTGTGCGGGGCCTGGGGACTGACCAGGGAAAATCACAGAAGGGGGTGCTCGTGGCCAGTGAAAGAGGTGGAGCGCAGAGCCTGGGCCCCGCACAGGGTGCGGATGCAGTGTTCCGCCTGTGCGGGGAGGGGGCCCGTGAGGCTCCCTGCACCGTGCCTCGGTTTCCCCCTCTCTCTTACCCCCTTACACCTCCAAAATTCTCGGATTCTAAGAGTGTTTTGTCACTGTGTAGTTTTGCTCAGCACCCCCTGTCACTTCAGGACAGCCTCCTCGGCCTGGCCCGGGGGCAGGCAGTTGCCTCCAGGGCTCCTAGGCCTGGGGAGCTTCTCGGAGGATGCGCCTCTCTCCCTTTGCACTGTCATCGCAGGAATTCAGAGGCCCAAGTGTCTAAAGCTACTCTCGGTCCAGAGCACCTGTCCAGTCTCTTTCCCCCTCCCAGCCTTTCTCCACACCCAAAAAGCACCGGCGACGGCTCACTTATTTATTTATTTATTTTTAAAGTGCATAATATGGTTAAACAAGTCTTGAAATGACATCCCTTGGGCCAGTGCAGCCACACGAGTCTGCTCCATCCCAACAGCCGCATCCTAAAGGCCGTGCCAGAGGGACTCCGAGTGTAGCTTGGTGGGAGCTCCACCCTGCCCGTCGCCGGATGCTCGAGGTCGCCCAGGCTGTCGTCCCTGCCCTGGTGTCCCTCCTCGGTCCCTCCAGGGTCAGGCCGAACACTGCTGCTCTCCTCTGGCGACGCTTCCTCTCCGACGGCACCAGTGCAGGTCTTTTTGGTGCTAAACACTGTAGAAACCAACACCAGCCGGGGCTGACAGACAACTGCTGGGGCCGTGGGAGACTCCGCCCGGAAGCACAAGTGAGTCAGTCACGCCTGGAGAGCGCAGGACCCACGGAAAGCCAGGCGGGACGTGAGCAGTGGGCAGATGTCAGGGCTCCTGGCCCTCGCCTTGGCGGCCCAGGTGACCTTGGCCATGTCAGCCAAGCTCTCAGATGGTCCTATTTTTTCAGGGGAAATGTGTAAGAGGTTGTGCTAATTATTCTTAGAGTCCTTTTCAGTTAAAAAAAAAAATCTATGTTCTGGTGCCACTTTTTTTAACTTGTTAGAATTAAGAGAAAAAAAGCTTGCTAGAAATAAGACAATGGAAGTTAGGTGAGGAGGAGGAGGAAACGTTACCCATGGCAAGACTAGATTGTAGAGTGGGGCTCAGTGATGGTTAGGTCTGAGGGGTGTCGGTGGGGGCACCAGGCAGCTAAGCCATGGACCCCATTCTCATGCTCTTTAAGACACACTCCAGCAGACCCCGAGGCTCACAGTCACCAGGCCATACTCCTCGCCCTATTCCAGGCCACGCCAGCATAGCCGGTGCAGGCAGACACTCTCCTGAGAGGTGGAGGCCAGCCTGCCCACCTCTCGTGCAGGCCACTGGCCACCTGAACGCTGTCAGAACGCAGGAGCTCCTCCCCTTTAACTGCTGAGGTGAGGAGCCGTCGGAAAGAGGCTGCGTTGGAGGCTGCACACTGCTCACCCCTGTTCTCGTTCAGAAATGTCTCGTGGCCTCTCGGCAGCTGCTTTCCAGACCAGACGGGAGCAGCAGTGTCTCGACTTGAGGCATCGTCCTTGCAGTGGACAGTGTTGAGGTTTGGGGTCTTCCCTGTGCTTTGCTCAGAGTCTGGGACAAAGGCACTTCTGGTGGGCGTTTGCTGAGTGAGCCCGTGTGCCGGCAGTCTGGAGGGCTCACTGGAGAGCCAGCAGTCTGGGTGGCTGCCTTCAAACGTGCCTGGCATGTCTCTTGCCATCTCTGGTCCAGAGCCAGCCTTCTAGAACACCCGTCGTGGCGTTTGCCTTAGAGCAAACTGGCACCTTTCACCCAGACCTCAGTGCTGTGTTTTTGGTCCCCGGAGCACCAATGTTTTCTTTAATATCAAATAAATGTATTTTGGCCAGCCCATAATAGGTTTTAGGGAAAGGAATCCAGGGTTTTTTTTGTATCATTATTTCATGGCACGAGCCATGAAATATTTCAGAAGTGTTTGGGGGCTGCTCCTCCCAAGGGGAGTGTGGGCCAAACATATTGCACACATGTCTGCGTGTGTCATTGAACAGCTTCAGGGAGGGTCTACTTGGACCCAGCAGGCCGAGTCCCTCAGGCCTGGTCTGCCTGAGCCTCACATTCCTCGGGGATGCACTGGCCAACAAGATGTTCAGAGATGTACTGACGGGAACCCCGCTATCCAGTAAAGCCTGGTCACTTGGTGCTCCCCAAGTTAAATCAGGCCCGTGATAACTCGCCGAGAGTCTGACAAGTCACTTCCTGGTGTTCTGGTAGGTTGGACAGGAACTGTTTCCACTGCACTGTGTCCCATCTGGAGTGGGAATGTCATTCACCGGCACTGCAGGTGGAGCCAGGCCTTTGCAGGGGTGGGGCAGAGAGAACGGGAGATGTCGACAGCTGCTCGCTCTTTCTGAAAGGCGACGGAACGGCGGAGGACTCGGTGACCATCTGCGTGTCACTGCGTTGGGAATGAGGACTTCCGCCATGCGCAGGAGCTGCTCCACCCTGAGGCCCCTCATCTGGCTCTGACAGAGTCTGCTTCCCTGGCGTGTTTCCCCGGTGCCCCGTTCCCATGACGCCTGCCTGAGATCCACATTTCACAACAAGAGCTCTCTCTGCCCAGGGAGACACCTCTCTCTTTCACAGGCAGACCCAAGGAGCTGGGGAGCCTTGCACAGTATTCAGAATTATTGATCAAAGTAAGAAAATTAAGACTCCCTGCCTCTTTAACTGAGTTCCATGCTTAACACAAGGCCTGGTTTGAAACCTGCAGTTGGGGACTGGTGTCTTGTACCAGCGTGCTGGGCTGTGCTCCCTCCTACAGAGGCAGGACAGTAGGATGCACTGATTTTTCCCCATCACCAAGGGAGACAGTTCTCTGCATGCAGGGCCATGACCCCAGCTCGCAGCCTGCAAGAGGTGCTCATGGCCAGCAGAGCCGACCCTTTTCTACTAGAAGGTATATCAAGGTCATGCAAATGATGAAAGGCCTGCTGGACCGCATGAGAAGTGCTTGGCCCTCAGGTCTTGCTCTGCAGTGTGACATCCCAGGAGAGAAGTTGGCTTCCCCTCACCATGGCAGAGGTAGATGCCCTTCTTGAAGGTCGGATGCTGGACTGAGAGGCCGGATGCAAGTTCGCCGACATTCTCTTGGACGCAGCCTCCCTGAGGCACAGGGAGAAATACAAATGCGCAAGCCTGTCTTCTAGTTACTCTTGCATTTAGGAAGAGTGCGTGGGAGCCACACACACACAAAAAGAATGAAAAACAACATGAATATGTTAACTGTGGGGCGTACTCGAATGAGTGGCTTCCTTAAACGTTTTTTGTTTTTCCTGGTGAAGCACTCGGGTCCCATCTCCATCTAAATTCTCCCCGACATCTGTCCCTGAGCCCACCCCTGGAGAGGAGAAATAGACCCGGTGCAGATGATGAGGTTTTTGCTTTCTGCAGCTGAGAAGTAAATCTCTGTAAAGAATACTTCCCTTCTTTTTTCTTCTTTTTCCTTCTCTTTTTGCTTTTGGCTCCTATCCTTCTGCTTCCATGGGCCTGGCACCTGGCTCCTCAGACTCTGAGGAAGTCTTAATATGAGGTGAATCCCAGGACCAAAAACAGCGTGGACTTCAAACAGTGAGAAAATTGGCGTTGAATGATTCGGCACACAAAGCAGAAAACTTTCATTTCCTGCAGACAGAGGGAATTGACTGTTGTATTAAGACTTCTGAAGGAGCCCTGCCTGGGGGTAATGTCAGTGCTATCAGGCAACGCCAACATCGAGATTAACCTCTGTGCAGGGAGCTTCGCCACGGAGCTCATTGAGATGCATGTGGAGGGTCTGTGCAGATCCCACCAGGATCCCCTGGGCCGCCCCTCCCCCCGACAGTCCCCCCCACCACCCAAGCCTCCCCACTGTGCTCGCTGCCTGAGCCTCCAGGAGCAGAAGAGCCCTGGAGGGCCTCCGACTCTGGGAGAGAGGGTGCCGGCCTCTCTCTGAGCACACTGCTGAGCCAGGCTTTCTACCCAGTGTATGTGACATGCTTGTCATGGTATCGGTTTTCCCCTGCGGGGACTGCACGGCAAGGCTGGAAGCCACTCTGCTGACGACAGACAGTGGTGCAGTGCAGCTGGAAGCTGCGTAGAGTGAAATGGTGCGCCAGTGGGCCCTGGGCTCCCTGTCCTTCAGCATTTCCAGGTTCAGAGG